GGTTTTACTTGGTAACGCAAGATAGATTGTGAAATATTTATATAATTTCTTTTAGTCCTTGGTTACAGTAACGGAATTAGTCCAAGGAGACAGTTCTGACTGTACCAAGGAATAGACTAGAAATGGAATTATATATCAAAATAAAGCATAAAACAGGGAAATCAAGAAAGAAGGGAAGGTTCGATTACTTAACATCAAAGTAAATAACGGGGGAATAGCAGGGGAATGGTGGGATGACTATCAAACCCTTCTTGCATTTAATTATACTATGATCACTGTGATGACTATTGATTTATAATTAGTAGACCAAAGTCAAAGCTAACCTTACAATCCAATTAAGTTCGTACAAAGTAGTATTATATATTTTCTTATAATAATGTTAAAATGTACATTGTTTTGACACTTGTTTATCGTTATCTGTTATAGAATCAAAAGAAATCTGTTAAACAAAATCTATGACCTTTACATTCTTAGCACACACAACAGAAATGAATGAACTCATGAGCCTTATGGCCGTTCAGTCATGCTACTCATATTAGAATTAGGGTTTCCTTTGCATCTAAAGCTATGGGTGGTGGTAATGTAATCATCTGTTGTAGAATTGATTTTAGTAAACACTGGATACAGCCGCATGATTAAATGTCTAGTGATGAGAAACCCACACATCTGTGAATATGTGCGAATGTGTGTCGTGCTTCTTTGTATGTTTAGATACTTTGTGCAAACATTTGCAGAGAAGGAACAATAAGCCCGAATTTTAAAATTCGTTCTTTTCCTCTTTCAAAAATAACAGAAGATCCAAGGAGCCTGGAGGAGGAAACAAAAAAGCAGGTAATTCAGAGAGAAAACACATTTTAGCCGTAAGAAATAGCTTCTGTTGTGAGAGGCAATAGGAAAAAAAGAGTACTGGAGAACGTATTTTCTTTATCGTATATAATATATATATATATATATATATATATATATATATATATATATATGTATATATATATATATATATATATATACACACACACACACACACACACACACACACACACACACACACACACACACACACACACACACACACACACACACACACACACACACACATATATATATGTATGTATGTGTGTGTGTGTGTATATATATATATATTATATATATATATATATATATATATATATATATATATATGTATGTATGTATGTATGTGTGTGTGTGTGTGTGTGTGTGTGTGTGTGTGTGTGTGTGTGTGTGTATATATATATATATATATATATATATATATATATATATATATATATATATATATATATATATATATATATATGCCCATCCCCTTTCCTCTCTTTCCTATCCAGGAATCACATTCCTCCACGAACGGCAGTAGGATTAGCATTCATGGAACGCGGAGAACGATGCGCGAACAACCGCCCGGATGGAGGTCCTGCGTGATGAACCCAGGGCGGTGCTAGCGGCCCATCAGATCTCCCAGCCAGTCAGCAGAGCCCTTCGCTGTGTTAACAGTGGCCGGCAACTCCACGCTAAACAGGAGAGTTCAAAGGGAAGATGGGGCTGCAGGCATTAGGAGGGATTCCCAGCTGAAGCCCGTGTCTACGCTCCGTTCCTCCGTTCTGGTTAATAAGCCGTGAAGCGACGAGATAATGCGCTGGGCTAACAAACTTTGAATGGAGGTACGGTGTAGATAACTTTGTATATCCCGCGTGTGTGAAGTGCTTGGGGGCTGTACAGGGGTACAGTGGGATAATGATATGTGTTTATTTGAAAGTGTTTTTCTTTTTTGTTGTTGTTGTCGTTTTTGTTTCTTTTTGTTATTTTCTTATTATTTTTTTAGTAAATGTCGCGATTTTTTTTTTTTTTTTTTTTTTTTTTTTTTTTTTTTTCTAATACCGAGGATAGTATTTAATTCATATTACAGTGGAGTAGAAGCATCATCTAATATTTCCAGGGATGCGGCCAACCAAGGATCGTTTTTGAGCAAAAATAATTACCTCCGCTTATGAGGTTTTGTTTATGGTAGCGTTGGTTAGATGACAGGATAACTGAAAAGGTTACAAGCAGATTCTTGTGATCTTTATTTTTTTAATGTTATATATATATATATATATTATATATGTATAATATATATATATATATAATATATATATATATATATATATATATATATATATAATATATATATATATATATATTTTATTTTTTTTTTTTTTTTTACAACGCGATCAAATTTTGGTTGTGAATCCTTTTTTTTCAGCATTATATCACCAATTATTATGGTTTTAATGTAATTATATATTTTTATTGCATGAGTGACCCTATTACTTAATTATCAACGTCATCATTATCATTATTATCATTTTCATTATTTTATTATTATTATTATTATTATTATTATTATTATTATTATTATTATTATTATTACTATGTTACTATCATGATGGAAAAATGATTATTAATTATATTATATTGTCATCGTAAGGATCATTATTTTCATTTCTCTTTCTTTATAATAAAGTTATTGATAACCATTATTATTTTATTGCTATTAATATCATTTTGTTGTTATTATCGTCATTGTTATTATCAACGTTATCATTATTTTTCATAGAATCATTACCATTACCATCTTCATTATCATTATTACTGTCCTTGTTATTATCATCATTATTATTATCATTCTTATTATTTTTATCATTATCATTATTAATATCATTATCATTTTCATTATCATTGTCATTGTTATTATTACTATTATTATCGTCATTATTATTATTATGTTATTATCATTGCTGTGTTATTATCATTATCATTATTGTCATTATTATTGATATTATTGTTGCTATTATTATTATTGCCATTATCACTATTATTGATATTGTCATTATTACTATCATTACCATTATTACTATTATCATTATTATCATCATTGCTATTATCATTACTATTATCATTATCATAAATACTATCATGATTATTGTTATTATCATTATCATTATGATTAGTGTAATTATTATTAGCATTTTTTTTCTTCTGATTATTTTCATTGTTAGCAATTTTTCATTCACGATCAACTGCAAGGAAAGGAATACAAAATAGCACTGTCTCCAGCCTTTTTTTTTTTTTATTTATTTGACGACAAAGCAGAAGCTTCCGTTCACATATATAAATAATTTTAGCCTAAATACTATATTCATATTCTATCTACAGTATAAACATGTATCACATACATATCAAGCCACATGTACAAAGCATCCACTGTTGGATGGCTAAACATAGATATTGGTTTGGTGGGACAATATTTATATATTTGTTCAACGGCCTTTTACAAGAATACACGATTCTTCTCTGTGAAAAACGAAAAATCTTTCGACACTAAAACGACGATGATGGTGTGTGATATACTTATATATATACATATATATATATATATATATATATATATATTATATATATATATATATATAATATATATATATATATATATATATATATATATATATATATATATATATATATATATATATGTATATATATATATATATATGTATATATATATATATATATATATATATATATATATATATATATATATATATATATATATATATATATATATATATATATATGTATGTATGTATGTGTGTGTGTATGTGTGTGCGTGTGAGTGTGTATCTGTACACATACACACGTATGCTTGCCGGTGTGTATGTTTGTGTTTGTGTATATGACTGTGAACACTACCATGGCTCTGCCGCGATAGTTCAGTACATCTTGTGAAATAACACTACATTTATTTCACATTTATCATGTACAAGGATCAGCGAATGCATCCTTACATCGACACATGCGAATTACAGGTGTTTCTTGTTTACTGAATGATTATTCGGTTGTTTATCCTGTTGTCTTTCATCTAGTAAGCAAACAGATTTACGCTCTGAATTTACTACACATGATGCCTAAACCACAACATTGCCCCGCTGGAGTTAGTGATATATGGTCCTGTTCTCGAGACGAATGAGCTGTCCGATTTTCAGCATGAATATCATATGCTGTTTGTTTATGGGTTCCCCTATGTTGTTGGTCACGTTTACATACATACACAAAAAAAAGAAAAAAAAAATGTATATATGGCTTATGTTCATTTCCACTTGATAAATTATGGTTGGATACTCTGACGCTGAAAAAATAGCCCCTGGATTGATGTATTTCTGTGATACATGATGATTTATATCTATTTTTGCTTACAGCAAAATACTGCTGTTTATATTACGGTAGAATGCTACTGACATGATGACTATGCAAAATCTTCTTTAAAAGACCCGTGATGATGAGCTGAGTGCAACGACGTTACATTATGAAATATTAGTTACAGTCAGATGTAAAAAAAAAAAAAAAAATAAATAAAAATAAAAAGATAATGATAAATAACATTAATTATGATAAAAAGAATAATCGATCTAAAAAAAAAAATCGTTCGTCCGTTTTTTTTTTCTTTTTTTTTTTGCCATTTCTGTGACTTTATTGAATCGTTTTTTTTTAGTGTGTGTTTGTTTGGAAGACTTCTATTTCGGTTCTGATACAGATCGGTTTGTTACGAAGCTCACATTTCGGAAGGAGAGACCCGCACGGTTTTCTCTGTGATGTAATCTGGCCCAGATTTCGCCGATTACACACCATGAAAGGATCGGAAAATGAGTCCATTGAAGCCACCAACGGATGAACAGATCAGCATACAAACTGACAGATTAAGAAGCTGAAACCCATCCTTTTGCTCGCTACAGGATCTGTGTCGCGAGTTACGTAAGTCTTGATTTTTCAGTGATGGTAATCTACATGTGAATGGATTCTTTATACAGGAAACCGCGATGGTGCGTTTACTATCCTTACACACGCACACACCACACACACACACACACACACACACACACACACACACAAACACACACACACACACACACACACACACACACACACACACACACACGTATATCAGAACAAACACTCTTTTTGTCACACACACATAACAACACACAAACACACATACACGCACTCTCTCATACATACACACACATACTCCCTCTCTCTTTCACACACACGCCCATGCATAACGCTAACGGAATTAAATTCCAATCTATCGTTTATGCAGATATCCTTTTTTTTTCTTGTATGTTATTTCATCTTTTATTGAGTGTCTGTATTTTTTTCTGTGCAGGTATTTATGTAACTGATATCTGTAGGATTTATTTTACTCTATTTTTCCAGTGATGGGTTTTCCGGCAGGGAATCGAATCAAATTTTGTTTTCAATATTTTCATGTGCTTTGATGTCCCGTCATGGCCAAAGTTCATTTCTTCATAATGAAGATTTAAATACCATTAGGATTCGGTCCTTAAATGAATTATACAAAATCGGATTAAGGACAGCCTGGCAGGACTACACGGGCCTCTCCCTCTGGGGAGAGACCGGGGTCGTGAGGGTGTCGGGCGTGCTGGGCGTGTAGGTGGACAGGGGCACGATCTCGTCCTTGTCTGCCTCTGCCTGGCGGCGGGAGCGGCTGCCCTTCGCGAGCGGCTGTCGGTTCGACGCGTAGCGCAGCAGCAGCGCCTCCTGCTCCGGCGTGAAGCTCGTGCGGGCGTGGCAGTTCTTGATCGGGTGCGGCGAGCCTCCTGTGGGGCCGGAGCTGGCCTTCGTCGGCGACTGTCCGTCGCGGATCTCCGCCACGGGCTGCAGCCTCCGGCCGACGTCGGACGAGCGGCGGTCCGTCGCCCCGAGCGCCGTGGCTCCCGGCACCGCCAGCTCCGCCGAAATGCTTCTGACGCGGATGGGCGACAGCGGGCGCCCCAGGCTCTCCTCGGAGCCATCTCTCAGGCGGCTTCTCACGTCCCCGCACGTGGTTATCTGCGTCAGGGTGGAGATCCTGCGACTCGGGCCGCCGCTCCCGCCGGCGCCCCCGCTGACGCAGACGTTGTTGTGGTTGAGCCACGTGTTGGTGGAGTAGGCGCCCTTGTACTTGATGGCGCGCTTGGTGCAGAAGCCGTAGCGGGCCAGCAGGATGAAGAGGTCGCGGCGATACTGCTTGGTGAGGATGGCGTACAGGTACGGGTTGGCGCAGGAGTTGAGCGGGTAGAAGAACACCAGCAGGAACTTGGCGTGGGTCACGCTGATGAGGGGGAAGCCCAGCACCGCCGTCAGGCCGAAGAAGGCGATGGGGGCCCAGCAGGCGAAGTCGGTGAAGACCAGCAGAGCCATGCGCTTCGCCACCGTCGTGTCCGAGGTGTTGGCGGCCAGGTTGTTGCCGGCGATGGAGCAGTACATCTTGGAGTAGCAGACGCAGATGAGGACGAAGGCCAGGCCGTTGGTGGTGAGCAGCATGAGCAGGTACGCCTGGTCGGCCACGTCCTGGGTCTCCATGGGCAGGCAGATGCTGGCGGGGAGGCAAGGACGAAAAGGGGTATCAGAGGAAAGCATTTCCAATAAACGATCATAACAATAACGCCAAAAGAGAATATAAACAAAAGAAAAAGGCGGTTCAATAAAATAAAGAAAAGAAAGAAGAAAGAAAAAGAAAAGAAAGAAAGAAAAAGAAAAGAAAAAAAGAAGGAAAGAAAGAAAAAGAAAATAAAATAAAAGAAAGAAATAAAAAGACAAAAATATATATACATCGAAAGAGGATCACCATCAAAACATTATAAAACAGTGTACGATTTCTGAAACGAACCCGCCGCCGACACAAGAATTCAATAAAGGGGAGGAAATGAAGAAAGATGTTTTATTCATGATGCATCTAATTCCAAAAATCGCCCCCCCCCCACCTCGAAAAAAGGACAAAGAAAAAGATAAAAAGGCAAGAGAAGCTTGGCCGCAGCGAACCGTCTTCACAAAAACCAATGGATTTCCTTTAAGATCTGAATATAATTAAAAACACAAGATAAAGACAAGATATCTGTGTAGTTTCCTTTACGACTTTTCACATTTTTTTTTCGTAAAATGAAGTAATAAAGTTGAAGGAGATAAAACAGACTAAAACAAACTCTAAAAGAAAGATAAAACGTACAATAATACAATTAGTAAAATGAAGATTAATATTAAAGATGGCGATAATAATAACTATAATGATAAAATGATCATAAATTTAAGATATGAACAATGGTGTCAGCAATTATATTAATAATGATAAAAAAATATGATTTACGATCAAGATACTGGTACAGCATATATTAAGATAATGATGATGATGATAAAAGTGATTATATGATAATCATAATAACATTAATAATAATGATAATAATAAATTGTTAATAACAATACTACTACTAATAATAATAACAATAATAATGATGTAATAGTAATGATAATAATAATGATGATGATAATAATAATAATAATAATAATATCATTGATGACAATAGTAATGATAATAATAATATTATTAATAATATTAATTATAGTGATAATAATAATATCAATGACAACAAAAAATACAATAATACTGATAACACTGATAATAGTAATGATTATGATGATGATAATAATAATGATTATATTTCTTATCATCATCATCATAAGTATCATTAATATTATCATCATAATACTATCAATAATAATTCTAATAATGATAATAACAATAACTCAAGCGATAATAATAACAATAAACAACACCAAGACGATTCCCATCTTCCCTTCCTCCATACCTCGTCTTGGAGTAACCAGACACGCCAAGCAAAGGCAGCGTAGCCATCGTCAGGGCGTAGAGCCAGGCTAGCACCATCACCCGCACCGCCACTGTCAGTCGTAGGCGCTTGTTCAGGTGGATGGCGTAGGTGATGGCGTACCAGCGTTCCAGGGTGATCACCGTAAGCGTCAGTATGGACAATTCGGAGGCAAAGACGGTGAGGAAGCCTGCAACCTTGCAACCTGGGC